TATTTCAGTAAGTTCACGAACCATTTATTTCAGTAAGTTCACGAACCATTTATTTCAGTAAGTTCACGAACCATTTATTTCAGTAAGTTCACGAACCCTGTTATAAAACTACTCCTACATCATGAACCATTTGTTTCAGTAAGTTCACGAACCATTTGTTTCAGTAAGTGTGCGAACCATCTGCATCAGTAAGTTCACGAATCATTTGTGTCAGTAAGTTTACGGGCCATTTGTTTCAGTAAGTTCACGAACCCTGTTATAAAACTACTCCTACATCATGAACCATTTGTTTCAGTAAGTTCACGAACCATTTGTTTCAGTAAGTGTGCGAACCATCTGCATCAGTAAGTTCACGAATCATTTGTGTCAGTAAGTTTACGGGCCATTTGTTTCAGTAAGTTCACGAACCCTGTTATAAAACTACTCCTACATCATGAACCATTTGTTTCAGTAAGTTCGCGAACCATTTGTGTCAGTAAGTCTACGAATCATTTGTGTCAGTAAGTTCACGAACCATTTATTTCAGTAAGTTCACGAACCCTGTTATAAAACAACTCCTACATCATGAACCATTTGTTTCAGTAAGTTCGCGAACCATTTGTTTCAGTAAGTTCGCGAACCATTTGTGCCAGTAAGTTCACGAACCATCGGTTTCAGTAAGTTCACGAACTCTGTTATAAAACCACTCCTACATCATGAACCATTTGTTTCAGTAAGTTCACGAACCGTTTGTGTCAGTAAGTTCACGAACTATTTGTGTCAGTAAGTTTACGGGCCGTTTGTTTCAGTAAGTTCACGAACCATGTTATAAAACTACTCCTACATCATGAACCATTTGTTTCAGTAAGTGTGCGAACCATCTGCTTCTGTAAGTTCACAAACCATTTGTGCCAGTAAGTTCACAGGCCATTTGTTTCAGTAAGTTCACGAACCCTGTTTCAGTAAGTTCGCGAACCATCTGCTTTAGTAAGTTCGCAAATACACACCATGGTTGATATACATCTGGGCTACATTGGGTTCCATTTGTTTCAGTAAGACCACGAACCATCTATTTCAATAAATTTACGGATCGTCTGTTTCTGTTAGTTAATGAACTATCTGTTTCTGTAAGTTCACCCACCATCTGTTTCCGTGAGTTCATGAACCTTCTGTTTCAGTGGGTTCATGAACCTTCTGTTTCTGTAAAGTTCATGAACCTTCTTTTTCTGTAAGTTCATGAACCATCTGTGTCTGTGAGTTCATGAACCTTCTGTTTCAGTGAGTTCATGAACCTTCTGTTTCTGTAAGTTCATGAACCTTCTGTTTCCGTGAGTTCATGAACCATCTGTGTATGTGAGTTCATGAACCATCTGTTTCTGTAAGTTCATGAACCTTCTTTTCAGTGAGTTCATGAACCGTCTGTTTCAGTGAGTTCATGAACAATCTGTTTCTGTAAGTTCATGAACCATCTGTTTCTGTAAGTTCATGAACCTTCTTTTCAGTGAGTTCATGAACCATCTGTTTCTGTAAGTTCATGAACCATCTGTTTCCGTGAGTTCATGAACCTTCTGTTTCAGTGAGTTCATGAACCTTCTGTTTCAGTGGGTTCATGAACCATCTGTTTCTGTGAATTCACCCACCATCTATTTCCGTGAGTTCATGAACCTTCTGTTTCCGTAAGTTCATGAACCTTCTGTTTCAGTGAGTTCATGAACCATCTGTTTCTGTAAGTTCATGAACATTCTGTTTCAGTGAGTTCATGAAGTTGCAAGTGCTGTAAAACTCTCACTACTAAAACTAACTGAACGTTATTGTGTCCATCTGCTACTCTTTACTCAAACAAATCAAAGGTTACAAAAATGATTTAAAGTTCACTGGTTTTCCTCCTCCCCTTTACTCCCTTCTCTCCTCTCCTCTCTCTTCCCCTCTCTCACTCCTTCTCCTCCCCTCTCTCTCTTCCCCTCTCTCACTCCTTCTCCTCCCTCTCTTTTCTCCTCTCTCTCTCCTTCTCCCCCCTCTCTTTTCCCCTCTCTAACTCCTTCTCCCCCCTCTCTTTTCCCCTCTCTCTCTCCTTCTCCCCCCTCTCTTTTCCCCTCTCTAACTCCTTCTCCCCCCTCTCTTTTCCCCTCTCTCACTCCTTCTCCCCCCTCTCTTTA